TTTTCTGAATTAAAACTGGTTGAGAATAAGGATGATGGTGATGGTGGGCTGACTTTTAGTTTATAAAACAGGAGGTCATGCCTCAAGCCTTCAGGGAAAGCTGGTGCTCGCTGTCTCTGGCCAACATAGTGTAAAAAGTGAAGGTGAAAACCCAGATCTCCACGGAAATTTAATTTTTAAGCAAAATGAATGAAACAATTTCTCTAATTCGAAAATCCTAAGTATATAGATCTAAAGGGGCCTCACACATCATTCCTCTAACCCTGAAACCACTCATACCTTCCTACAAGCTGAATGCTTCCCCTCACCCGTACCCCAAATTCACGTATTGAGTCCTAACCCACAGGACCTCTGAACGTGGATGTATTTGGAAACAGGACCTTTAAAGAGGTATTCAATGGAAGTGAGGCTGATAAGGTGGGCCCTAATCAAATCTCCTGATATCCTTATAAAAAGAAGAAATCTGGACACCCAGAGACAACAGGGTAAGCACACCCTGAAGAAATGCCATGTAAGGACACCATGGTAGGACAGCCACCTGCAGGCCCAGGAGAGAGGCCTTGGGAGAAACCAAGACTGTTGCCACCTTGAACTTAGACTTCTGATTTCCAGAACTGTGAGCCTGCCACCTGATTTGCAGGGAGCCCTGGAAAATTCAGGAATGCACTTTCACTCACTCTGGGAAAGGAATGACTCTCTTTTCTGTATCTCAGCACACCCTACTTATTGCAGGCAAAACAATATGGAGAAGAATAATTTTCAAACTGGAAAGGATTTAGGGCTATGTAAATCTCACAGGAAAGCATGATAACAAAGAGATTTGCAGCAATTAAACTTTAAAAAGTCTCTCAAGGTCTCCCACATTTAAAGTGCACTTTTTAACAAAGCCAAGTGCTAACAAACATATCCCCTGAAGCAATGCTGCGGGGGAAAAACACCTTCTCTCCTCCCTCCTGATTCTAATTATTTACTTGATAACCTCTTATCTTAACCAAGTCCCAAGGTGGAGTCTGATAGTGGTAGGGTTGAAGCTATAATGTGCCACACTGAAGGTGTGCATCTAAGTCTTAAAAGAAAAAAGAAAAAAAAAAAAAAACTCCAAGGGCTCCAAATGACTTTTATCACTGACACATTTAAAAGAAAATTCAGTAAGACAGTATTAAGGCACAAAACATATTTTACCCCAAGCCATCCTTTCAAAAATCTGAGCTCAAATCTGAATTATTGTTAGACTGAATGGCTAAGGAACCCATTCTGCACTGACCTTGTGTCATCACCATGACTGTCCAAGGCCACCTCTCTTCTTCCCGGAACCACAGCTCAGAAACAGAAATCTGTCTTCCTGCGATGCCTGTTTCTGATCCCTGCCTCTGCACAGGGTGTGATTCAAGGTCCCCACCAGGGTCTTAGTAGGATGATGAGCCTTCAGCAGAATGTTCTGCACATCAATCTACAAGATTCATTGCAGACCAAAGATACACAGCTGAGCTACTCATCTGTGGCCATTTCTGATTTCTTTCAACTTTGGAATTAATTTTTGAGTCCAAGTAATATTCCAAAGATTTTTAAGCTCAAGGCTTTTTACTCCTTAGGTCTATAGATTTTGTTTAGTTGGTTTGGATGGTGCAACATTTTGTTAAAAAAATGTGTGTGTGTGCATGTGCGCTCATGTTCTTATGTGTGGATTATATACAGGCTCACTGGCTAGGGTCTTCATCGTCCTCCCAGTCCCGATTCTCTCCATGAGATGTCTAAATAGACCAAAGGCATTGGAAACTTGTGTTTCTTGAGAGAGACTTTGAAACTTCAGAATCCCACCCAAGGCTACGAGGGCAAAAGTATCGTCCACAAATACAAAAATTCCAGCAAGGAATGGAGTTCCAAACCTAGAAGGGCTGGGTAGGGCAAGTACCCTAGGTGCTATTGCACCGGGTCACCCAAAGCTGAGCAGTCTTCTAGATTTTGATTCATATCCTCTCAGCAAAAAACTGACTTCAATGTGACTTCCCTCAAAGTCCCTTTCTAAAATGTAAATATGTATGCTGAAAAAGGGTAATAAATTAATTTATGAGATTGGGGATCTAAGCTATTTCCCAGAAGTAGGAATCTACATACCATTTTCTTCTAATATAGGAGAGGGAAATGCTGATTGAGAATGGAAGAGACCGGGAATAAGGATTTCAAGGGAGGGCTGACAGAGAGCAGTGTTAAAGGGCCTCCGGAGACCCCTGTTTGGACTAAGCACCTTCACTGGCCCCAACAGACCAGCCAAAAATCAAAATCAATCACTCACGCTCAGATTCCTGGTCACCAAAGAGAAACTAAGTTGTTGTTCGACCTTCCAAAATATCAGGAAAGGTAACAGTCAAATTTCCCAAACAGGCCAGTTTCAATCTGCATGATAACAAATTTCTATTTTAATTCTTACAAAAAAATAAACAAATAAACTGAAATAAACTAATGTTTAACCAGCAATTTTCCTATTGTCACCATGTCTCCAACGTAACAAGGAAAGTAACTCTCAAATGACCTACCCATTCTTTTTTCTTTATTTCAGTCTCTAAACTGGGTTCATTGGAACACTTACTCTATTTTATGGCATGAAGCATTCCTGATACTGGAATCACAAATAAGGCTAATTAAGGTATTTAAATTAATTTTTTTTTTAAAAAATTGCCCTTTGACAGCAATGAAGGAAATAGTCATGGTTCTTAAGAACACAAGCAGGAAACAAAGGTGACTCACATAACTCTATACTAAACTGTAAATTAATTCTTGTGTGGTAAATACAGTAATCCTATGACCTGAATTTTCCTCTGTTATCTTAGTTTAGGTGCTACCCTTCTTTTGAAAGAACATACACCCACTGGGTATTGTAATACATGACAGCCATCCCCGTGACTCTGGAGGCTGAGGTAGGAGGATCTTGCTTGAGGCCAGCTTGGGCAACCCAGCAAGACCCTGTGTCAGTGGTAGAACTCCCATGGGTTCAATCTGAGGTACCACTAGTATAAAAGTATATAAAAATTTAAAAAAAGAATATATGTTGCTGATTAAAAAAATGTATATATGAATTCAGTTTAATTTTCTATGTCTGAGACTTTCATATAAACAGATTATTATGCCAGGAAATAATACTTGGTAAAATTTGGTATTTTTATTCAGAAAATATGCTCAACATGTTCTCATCCAGAAAACAGGCAACAACATTGGAGCCTGCTTAGTGTACTTGAGACACAGAAGAAGGGAATTACTTTGCATGATACAGATTTAGAAAGCATAATTGTTACCAGAGGCCTATTTTGGGGATCCAATAAATCAAGTCTGACCACTCGCTCCCCACCAAAAACAAACCGAAAAGGTAATGGTGGAAATCATGAAATTGGAAGCAGACCCCTATTCTTAGCCCTGCCTTTGAGGGACAGTGATCCTGAGCTTTTATAGAAAGGGAAAGAGGGCAAGGGTTGGGGGTTTGCACAACTGGAGGATCTTCGCAGCTGATCAGTGTGGTCTGCCCATCATTATCTCAGGATCCATCAGGCAGGGACATGTCACTGATAAGAAAGTTGCTGTTGTGTGGGGGCTGGGTGGGTCACAAGATGTTTATTGGATTCAACCTTGTTCCTGGAATCCAAGATGACACCAAGCAAAGGGGACTGATACAAAGGAGGCAGAGATGCCAAGTCTTTAATCTTCCTTTTAGCTACCCACAGTGCATTTGCAGGCAAAAGCAAAGAGAAGAGTCTAAGTCCTTGTTACATTCTTTTATTGCTATCTTGGATTATGAAAAACAGGCTGGGTAATAAGTCAAAGATTACTTAATATGATAACATAGGAAGCCAGGCATGATGGTACCCACCTGTAATCCCAGCACCTGAGGAGGCTGAGACAGGAGGATCTCAAGTTCAAGGCAAACCTCAGTACTTGGTGAGGCCCTAAGCACCTTGGTAAGACCCTGTGTTAAAATTTTACAAATGGGGGGACTCTGGAGATGTGGCTCTTTGGTTAAGCACCCCTGAGTTCAATCCCTGGCATCAAAAAAAACAAACAAACAAAAAAGATAACATATGGCATAGGACTGATCATCAGGAAGCACTGGGTGAAATTATAACATATAAACTAAAAGTGGAAATATTTTCAATAATCCTAGGCATCTATTTGTGACATGTTAGGATGAGTAAATTCAACTTCTTTGTTGATATTATTAAATAGGAAAAAGTTGCTTCACATGCATTTAGCATTATGAACCAAAAATGACCAATATTCTAAGAAGAGAGAGAGAAGAGCAACTTTGCTGAAGCTTCATACTCCTATTTCAGCAAGCAAATGTGCTGGCCCTGGCTGCAAGGCCACAGCTTGTTCCTCACATACTGATGCGTCATCTGTCCTCTGCCCACGTGAACAGGAAGCACAGTAGACCCTCAACAATTATCTCAAGAAATTCCATCCTGCCAACGTTTTCTGAGTCTTTCACCAAACATCCCTGGAGTCCCATCAGGGACTTTGCTAAATGATCTAGATTCATATTTTCAGTGTCCAACATCCCTTCTTTGCTGGACATCAGTGCTGGGGAATGTTTCTTTCTCTTTCATTCTTTTCTATTTCTAGCATCTCCATTTCTATTTCGTTCTTCTCTACTACAGGCTAGAACTTCTCTTAATTTTTAATTTCCCTCTTTTCTGTCCATAGAATGACACATCTCTGAAATTCCAACCTTCATTCTCTCCTTGTCTCACAGAACCAAGTGAAACTAATGCTTTCCAATACTTCTAAGAACCTTGATTACCCCATTTCACTGCCTGGGCTACTACTGGTTGGAATCATCCCATTTCAAAATATTCTTTCCAATTCTCACAAAGCTCTCCCTAAGAGGAACAAAGGTAAATAAACTATTCCCCATCTCAGTTATTTAAAGTACAGACATCCCATGATAATGACAGTGCATACAGCGGCTGAGAGCAAGATGCAGAGATAATCCCATAATTGGGTGTGATACTTACCCTCCGTGTGCCTTATAATCCTTGCAGAATTGTGGGTCCAACTAAAAATAAGTAAACAACAGCTCGGAAAACATGACCCCGCTTAGAATTGGAATACAGTGGGAAGTCCTTAGGACCAGAATAAGAAACAGAGTTCACCTAGATATGCAAAAGTGACAGAGGCACAAGATTCATTCTGAGAACCACCAGCACAGGGCAGGCAAGGAGATAGATACAGAGCCAGCTCTGCTCCATCACCCAGCATTCCAAAACTGGAGCTACCTCCATACATCAGGCCTTCCCAAGATGTTCACTCTCTGAAGTTCAAGCACACTCCTGTCCCCTGCTAATGCCAGGCTTCAGCAGCAGGCAAGCCTTATTCGGTTTTACTTCCCAACTCCTCACAGCTCAGTGTGAAAGTATGCCTCTCACTGCATACACCAGTAGCTTCCAAATGGCAACTTTATATTCTCCCTCTTTACCCATGGGACAAGAAAAAGTAAAACCCCAGCATGGCCGGTCCTTTAGAATCAGCACAGACTCCCAAAGGCTGCCACACATTCATCCCTGCAACCCCTCACACAGTCACAGAGCCCTATAGCAATGGTGTTGCCATGGCAACCAAGAGACAGTGGAGAGCAGAATGGATCTTATCACCCCACAAGTGGTGCTTCAAGTTTTCCATCTCATCACTCTTTCCATGTGACAAACTGCATCATTAAGAGGTCCCAGAGAGTAATTAATTAATAAGTGTGCCTCCCAACTCCAAGTTTGGTCTTGCCAGAACCACCCTGAGCACACAGGAAAAGCCAGTCTGGGCTCCACAGCCGAAAAATTCAGATTGGGATGCTAGGAGGATCCTAGGGCGGGAGACTCAGGGAGGACGCACCTGGAGGTCATCTCCCTCAGTGCCCTCGTTGCAGCCCTCGTGAGCGTGGAGATGGAAAATCATGCAGTGTAACATCTGATTGCCCTTTTCAAATTCCCAGAACGAAGCACTGTGAATCAGCAATGTCCCCTGGAGTGTAGGAGAGAGACTCCCAAGACAGCAGCGGAAGGCTGGCCAAGGTCTCACGAAATCTATTTATTCCCTGGTTCAGCCAAGGCAGCATTGGAGTTAGAAAACTGGGATAGCTAAGTCCTTTGGGGGCAAGTTATTTTAATAAACAGCCTATTTTGTATAACTTAATAAATTCTAAGCTTTGTCACAAGTTGGGGTTTTTTTTTTTTCTTTCTATTTTCCCCTTACTGTTCTCCAAAAAATAAAAATAAATAAATAATGTCTCCTTATTTTTAGAGGGCAAATGGAAAGATTTGTCTTTCCATGACTCATCCAGAAAAGCTTGAAAAATCATGGTGTTTTAAAAGGCCAAGTACAATAGCATTGGAGATAGAGAGCATGGCAAGGTCGGGTATTGGGGAGAAGAATACTACTGCCCCTCATCCTTCTAGAAGGAGGAAGTAACTTATTTGGTATCCTAGTGCAAATTAGTGCGAATTCACATACACCTAAGGGTAAGGACAGCAGAGCATGAACATATAATAGTGATGAGGGGTGAAGACAAGTCAGCAGAGAGTGGTCATGAACAGTTTCATCCAGCTTAATAAAGGGTATAGATTTTGTTTTGAATGCGATGAGTAGACACTGATCAGATTAAATCTTAGCTAGATCACTCCTGCTAGGCTAGGAAGGCAATGGCGGCTGGAAGTGGCCTCCAGGAGATCCCCAAGAAAGAACAAAAAACAGAATGCTCAAGAAAAGAGTTTGAACAAATCCTCTGTTGAGAACAGAGTTGCCTGTATGCTGTTGTCTAAAAGGGTACAATTTTCTCATTCCAGGTGACGACAGAGTTTTTTCTTTTCTTTTCATTTTTTAATTCTACAACATCAAATTTCAAGTGTACCCAAGGGAGAGGTGTTACTAGATCCATTGGAGGTAGAGTCACAGGATGGAGCTGGTAGGGGCAAATGAGACAAAAATGGGGGCGAAATCTGCTCATTTGCTTCTTTCTTGCCCCAAAGCAAAGCAACAGAATCTGGCCCCAAGGGTTGGGCTACAGATGGTGGAACAGTACAGCATATGTTCTGCAAGTACTTCCAAGAACCACCTATATCTTGGCACTTAAAATACTTCACAACAGAGAAAATGTGCTGATAATTTATATATTCAATATGTGTTCATGTGTGTACATGCCCAACATTCACACACAGCGAATGCTCTGCAAACTGCACCAGTATCACTTCAATCCTGGCCCCGCTTCTCTTTCTTATGCATCTCCTGTTCCTGGTATCTTCATGCTCCCTGTTCCTCCAGTATTCAACCCTGGTCTAAGAGGGAAGTATTTTCAATCAAGTTATCACCACTCCAGAAGATACCAAGTTTCTTACACAGCCTAATTGCTAATCCCTGTCATGAGGGCAGAAAAAAAAATCTCCTTTTATTAAAGACTTTAATTCTTATGTAAAATAGAAGATCTGGGTCATTTATTGACCTCAGAGTATGGAGTCCATAATGTAGTTCCTGTGTACCCAAAGTCAGGCATACACATGCCGTACTAGTGTGCACATACCCCAGAAATACAGGATTTCTAAAGTAAAGATATATCTTCCAAAATGCTTCTTTATAATTCCCATCTGCTTTGGTCATTAATCTCCAGTGGCTCTAGCAACTGAGATAGCAGCCTCCATTTCACCACAACAAAGCACATAAAGCAAGTGGCCCTCAGAACATTCTAGATATAGATCGTCTTCCTTTTAGTTTTAGACTTCTGATTTTGATTACAATTCTCAGAACCAATGTCACTCCATGAATTTAAAAATTAATTCATTCTATGGTCATTTTCAGAAGAGTATGATATAACCTATTGGTATTAGCCACCTGACTGTTAGCATGTCACCTTTTCTTGCTATGACCTCTTCCACCTACCATTCCCAAGAGGTCTTATCTGTTTACTTCTGCTGTGATTAAGTAGGCAGTGAGTTCACAAACCTCTGGTTGTGTCAATCCTTTGTTAGCCAATTCTTGCTAGCATTATCATTTGCATGGCAACACCCAGGTCCTCCTAATAGACAGGCATACCCACTCAACTCACAGTACACAGACCTGCACATTTGCATTGCCCCTGCAATATCAAAAAGTATGCCTGTTCCCACACAGATGCATCTGTACATATAAAGGCATACCCTAGAAGCAAATACAGTCCCCATGTATATTTATGCCTGTGTTTTATAAACAGCTAAACCTTGCTAATTCACAAGCTTCTTTGGCTGGCAGAGGACTGGTGTGTGCAGATTAGAACTCAAACAAATGATTACAAAGTCAAGGATAGCCCATTGCCAAACACATTCTGTTCTTTTGCTTAGACTTGTAGTTTTGCCTTAATTTATGGTAATCCTGCCCACGCTGCAAGTTAACGTACTGCTGGTTCATAAATGGAGTGCAATCTACTACTCCATTTTGGCTGAGAAGGAAAAGAGGACAGCCAGGTTTTTAAACGATGCTTCACAAAAACAAAATTACGGTTTTGCCACATATTAATGTGAGAATAGTTGAGATTCCTCACTGTTCCTATGCACGGTGCATGTGGACAACTATATATACTCATAATGAAGTTCCAGTTTTATAAGAACTCTTAGAACAGATGTTGAGTTTAATTTCTGTCATAACATGTGATAGCTGGGTTTAATAAAAAAGAATTTACAGGCTTCAGTAGCTTCAAGTCCAAGGGCTATATTCTTTGTACCAACTGTCCTTTATCTTGTCTCTCTCCTTGTTCCATGTTAGAATTCCAAATCCCACATCTAGTCCTTCCATCTTCCTCAGCTCTGCTGTGGTTCCTTCTTCCTTGATGAGATCTGATCAAACTCTTCCGACATCCCTCTCCATATACATAACTTACAGAATTCAGGAAAATCTCCTTAAATTGAAATTTCATAAGAATGGCAACCAGTCCCTCCCTCCAATTTCCAGCCAGCCTCGTTTATACCCAAATCCAAGAACATACTAAAAATATTCTATTTTCTTTAATTCCCTGATTTTTCTCAATTGAGTTCCAATCTATATCAATTTTTTTTTCTCGGTGTGAATTTGTTCCTTGACTAGGAACCAGGTCATAATTTCTCTTTCTCATGCATAGAATTTCTGATGAATAGAATGTCTTTCTACCTATTGGAAAAAAATATCTTTATCATAGCTGAATCCCAGCCAACTTATGGAATAGCATTTCTTTTACTTTTGCAGAGATATAATTTACATATAGAATAGTGCAGAGATCATAAGTTCTCAGCTTATTGATTCTTCGGAATTTGAATACATCTCGGTAACCAGCCACCATGCCCACGAGAAAGAATACCACTAGCACAACAGAAATCTTACTCATGGCCCCTCACAGTCACTATCTTTCTACCAGGTTAAGAGAAAACTAGCTTGTCTTTGGTTACAAGGCACTGATTTTACCTGTTCTGGAACTACTTTATATTAATGAAATCATGTGATACTCTTTCGTGAGCTGCTTCTTTCAATGTTATATTAGAAGGTCAACCATAATGTTGTATTTCAGTGGTGGTTTATTAAATCTCACAATCATGTTGGATTCTATTGAGTAAATAAATAAATATTTTCTCTGTTGAAAGACATTTGAGTGATCGCTTATTTTGTGGTACTATGCAGAGTTCTCCTGTGAACATTTTTGTGCATGTCTTTGGTGAATGTGTATGTGAACTTCTATAGGAAAATTCCAAAAGTGGGATGGCTGTCATAGAGTGTGCATATTTGATTGTGGTAGATGCTGCAAGACATTATTATAAAGTGGTCAGAATGCATTCCCTCATCATGATTTTGAATGTTCCAGTGATCCTACATAGTCACCAGAATAGTATGATCTTTTCCCTTCCTTCCTTTCTTCTTTCCTTTTGTTGTTTTAAACTCCATTTTGATATAATCATGTAAGCATGGAATATGTTATCCTAATAGGACCCCAGTCTTGTGGATGTACATGAGGGTGATATTCACTGTGGGGTATTCATATTGTATATGGGAAAATTATGTCAGATTCATTCTACTTTCTTTCCTTTTCCTATTCCCTCTCCTTCCCTTCATTCCTCTTTAATCTACTGAATTTCCATTCTTCCCTCTAGTATTTCTTACTTTAGTAATTTTGGTTGTAATGTAGTGGTGTCACATTTTGATTGATTTCATTTCCCTGAAAGTGCATTTTTCTACATTTATTCATCATTTGGTCATCCTCTTGTGAAGAGCTTGATGATTAAAACATAAGCAACTTTCCCTTTTTGTTTACTAGCTCTTTGGATATCCTCTTTTGAAGAGCTATTGGGTTAAGTTTTTACATGATTTCTACTGTATCATCTACCATTTCCTAATTGTTTGATAGGAGTTCTTTATATATTCTACGTAGAAGTCATTATTGGGTAGGTGTATTGTGAGTATCCTCTCCCAATTGAGGGTTGCCCTTCCTCTTAATGGCCTTTGAGCATACATAATACAATTTTAATCATAATGAAACTCATTTTTCATTTTAACTTTTATGGTTAGTGCTTTTTCTGCC